CTTAGATAATTTTTAGGTTTAAGTAGTGTTGGGCTTTTGGATTTGTTTAGGTTGGGCCTTATGCCCACCTGTTGTAACAAGACATTTTTAGGCCTAAGGCCATGTTAGGTGTTCTTGGAACATATTGGCCCTTAGAGGTCTTATAGTTTGGTTTGGATACCTTTTTGGAGTTTATACGGGTTTGGGCCTTAAATGGAGGGAGGCACATTGAGGCAAGGGTAAAGAAGCCCTTTTTGTCTTATGTCAAGAATTAGGGTTTGGACCTTTGAGTTAGAATGTGGCCTAATTTCTAATTAGGGTTTTATGCTTGTGCGTTAGGAAGAGGTTTTCGTGAGTCATCCACCAAGTTGATTTGATATCTTCATTCTAAGGTGAGTCTTCCTTCGTAGTATCCGTGGGTCGAAGGCACCAATGTCGGCCCACTAGTTTATGATGTAGTGTGATGATTTTCTTTGTGACAATTGTCAGTTATACATGTATTTGCTTGATAACTATGTGATTCCTATTATGATATTATGTGATAGTATTAGGGGGTGAAATAGACCCCATATCCTGTTGAACTAGACCGAAGGGGATTACAAGAACCCATATATTATTGATAGTATCCGGTTGAAATAGACCGAACGGGTAGGCAAGCACCCATATATGCTTAATAGTATTCGGTTGAAGTAGACAAGCACCCAGATATGCTTGACAGCATGTTTGTTTTGTATGTGGTATTTTAGGGGAACTCACTAAGCTTTGTGCTTACAATTTTCAGTTTCTATTTTAGGTAGTTCCAGTTCGAAAAGGAAGGGCTCGGCCTGATCAGACCGCATCACCCTATGATTTCTACATTTAGAGATTTTGGGAATTTTTACTTTGATAAAATGTTACTATGATTTTAATTATTTTGATATTAGTGATTTATGATTGAATGAAATTAGAAGCAAAAATTTTATCCATATTTCTGGGATGTTGCAAGATAGGGCTTAAGATCGGAGCTCGCACAAAGAAGTAATGAATTTTGAAAAATCTTTTTGTGCGTGTCAGGTGCGCGTCTCTGCACACCGCACACTTGACACTGGATTCGAGTAGATTGCAAGAGACGTGGCCAAGTGGTTGAGAGGGTTCGCAGTGAGAGTGTTGTTTCCCATTTTCTCCTCCTATTTCGAGTAGTTTTCAACCAATTGAAGGGTTGGAATGGTACGGGTGTTTATCAAAAAGTTGAAAGATATTTTAGATAGATTTGAGAGACATTTGGGAAAGAGAGAGAGAGAGAGAGAGAGAGAGAGAGAGAGAGAAAGATATTGTGTTTGTAGCCTGTGTTATGGTTTTTCCCCCATAGTGCTAAGATTATGGATTCCACTATGTCGTGTTATGAGTGTTATCAATCCCCAAGGGATACCTAGTTGAATTTATCGAGTTGTTACATTACTCATCTTATTTAAGGTTTAGATTTTTGAATATTTGAGACTTTGAAATTTCCGAGTGACACTTTTTACTATAAAAGAAAGTTGTACATTAGGAAACATAGCGTAAACCCTAACGTACTAGTACTAGTTGAGTTGAACGATTTGACTTGTTGACTATGTTTGACCAAAATTGACGGTTGTCATATATACGAGGTTTGACGACCCCATCTGTGATTGGTAGCTACAATCCCGACATGATAACTTTCTTATTATTCACTATTCGACGTTCGATGAAGTGTCATGACGAGGCAAATTATTAGTCAAGCAGCGTCAATTATGGGGGCTCATGGTAATACACTAGATCACCTTAGAGATCTGACTACCATTAGGGACACCTTAGATTGGAAGATAAAATACGTTAGGATTAGTTAAGCGTCCTACAAAGATAGTACATTTAGGGCTAATAAAACACCCTAAGATACAATAAGATAAGATCGTTAGATATCTTTAAAAGATAGTAAACTAGGGTTTATAAAATACTTTAGGAAATGCTTTTTTTAAAAGAAAAGGGATTCTTAAATTAATGCAACCAAATAAAAGTCGAAAACTATAAAAACCTATGTACTCACCAACATTATGTTGACATTTTCAAAAATACATGTATTCTTAGTGAGATGGGTCTGGAGGGTTGTTGTGTTAAGGAGGAGGAGATTTTCAAGGAAGCTTGTTGGAGTTTCATTCCGTTTGTTATTGTTTCTAGTGATATTTAGTGAAATAGTCTTTTGTGTTATGTTCTATGTATATCTGTATGCGTTAGCCCAATCTCCCCACATTCGCAACACCCGACGTTTTCGCCGCAGGTCGGGGTGTAACAATGTAGATCTGGAAAACTCATCTTCTGATGTGTGTTGTCCTTGAGTATGTATGTTTATAAGTGTGTGTGTGTGTGTATTGAAGAAACCGAAAAATATGATGTGAGTGTGCTTTCAAAATAGCATAGGAAATCTTATATGTATGTATGTGTTCATGAAGAATAGTCTTATTAGGTTGATAGAGATCAAAATCACTAAAAATATCCAATTTTGGACCAGTGGTACACCACCAAAACTTTTTGGACCAAAAACACAAAATTTTGCCAACTATAAGTACCATTTTTGTAATCTTGTCAGAATAAGATGAAGCCCTTTCTTGGTGAAAGGTATGAATCACCACATCAGTTGAAACATTGTAGTTGAAACATTTCTGAGTAATTATGTTATTCGTATCGGTTATAATATTTGATTTGTAAATTGACACTATTAGATTAGTTTCCAAATGTGCTTCAAAAAAGAAGTCGGTATAGTGTCCATTTAGATTTTATGCTTCCTAGATGACTCACTCAAGGAAGGTCTTTTTGGATTAAAACCTTAAATGATGATCACAAATATGTTAGAAATTACGACATTTCACATTTAGTGCATCCTTGTTGGCTAGCAAGACACTTTTTGGAGGAGTTGATGATGAAACCTAACTTGAAATGTAAGGAGATGCAATCAAGAATTAAAACCAAGTTTCTTTGTGGATTGTCTTGGTCTAAGGCTTACAGAATACGATATAGGACAATAAGACTTATAAATGACAAACTCACAAACCACTATGAAAGGGTTTGAGATTATTCCAGTGAGTTAATACGTTTAAATGTTGATAGCACTGTCCAAGTGGGTGTCACTATCAACCCAGATCAAACCACATACTTCCATAAGATGTATATATGTTTTAAAGGAATCAAAGAATGTTGGAAAATAAGGTTCATAGGGTAATTGGTCTATATGTATCTTTCTTGAAAGAGTCATTTAAAGGATAATTAGTCACTATAATAGGAAGGAATGCAAACAACCAAATGTATCCCATTGTTTGGGATACATATGTAGTGGTAATTATGGTGTTTAACTCGGGTTATGCATTTTATTGTTTGAAGCCCGTAATATTTTTTTTTAATAAATTTAAACTTAAGATGAAAGCAGTGGTTTTTGATGGTTGGAAACAATGGTGTAGCGTAGTGCAATTGAGGAAGGGAAAGGAAAGATGGTAGGTAGGGTGGGTGGGTATGATGGGGACATTTCTAAATTTTGTATTAAAATAAATTGTAATTAAATATAAAAAGTGATAAAATATAATTATAAGGATATAAAAGTTATTTTATATAGGTCATAGACCAACCACGTAAGAAATTGAAATACATAACATCTTAATGAATAAATGGTTAGGAACAAAAATTATGACTTTTTGTAAAACAACTAATAATTTATATAATTTTGGCTAGTTTTTATTGTTGTTACTATTTTATATTGAATTTTCAAAGATTTATCACTTTCAATTTCTCGCATCACTCACCCATAACATAATAATTTGTAAAATCTCACGATCAATCACGATCAACCTAAAAGTCAAATAAATTTATACTACAAAGAAATATGAATAAAGCACAAATGTACAAAAATGCCAAATGAATCCCCAAAAAATAAGGAAACCCATCTTCAAGTTCATATAACCACAAAAAATGAACTAAAAAAAATATAATTTACATATCCTTTGGTTTAGAAAATATGTTGGTGCTCAATTCCTACAAAATTCAAAGCATGCCAATTTTATATAGACTTAGTGGGTAAACGAGCAACACGATGCACTGTAATCCATTTTTGAATATCAAAACTAATTCTTTTAAAACCATCCAATAGATATCGGGTTCATAACATTATTATACATGACTCATTGGACTCTATTGAGTAGCTCTACAGCATCTAGTGCAAAGAAATTGAAAGTATCAAATGTAAAAGGTATAAACATGTATTGATTTTCCATGTACCATTTCTCATGTTTTGCCATTTGTCTTGAGGTAGCTTTTAAAGCAGCATGCCCCACAATGAAACCTTACTCCCTAAGCCCACAATAAAGGAAACCTCGGTTATATCCACATGTCCATTCTTCCTCCATCCCATCCAAAAACTAAAAACATCAGTCGGTCTAAATGTTGGTCTAAGTGTTGATCTTCCTTCCAACTGGTCAGTCAGAAAGTTCACATGTGCTTCTTTTCATGCAGAAACTCCAACATGCCTAAATATGTCGAAAAGATTAAAATCTCCAAACATATCATACAATTATTATCCAAATCATACCAACATTCTCACATGCAAATCCACATAATTTATGAAAAGGTTAAATACAAGAAATAGCAATGTATTTTCATTGCTTTATTTATTATATATAGCATTAAAGAGTTCCCTCAATTAGGGCTGTAAACGAACCAAACGAACACGAACAAGGTCTTGTTCATGTTCTTTCGTTTAAGTTAGCCGAACAACAAACGAACACGAACGGATAAACGAATGAGATTTTCTTGTTCATGTTTGTTCGTTTAACAAATTACTTTGTTCATGTTCGTTCATTTATGTTCGTGAACATGTTAAATGAACATAAACGAACAAACATAAACGAACAAAAAAAAAAAAATAAAAAAAAAAACACAATTGAACATATATAACATATACGAACATATAATATAACAATATAATAAAAAAATAATTGAATACAGATGAATATAAATAAACTTAAACGAACGAACATAAACAAACGTAAATGAACATCATAAACGAATGTTCACGAACATAAATGAACGAACGAGACCATTGTTCATGTTCGTTCATTTAACTAAACGAACAATAATTTTTGTTCATGTTCATTCATTTATTAAATAAACGAACATAAACGAACTTCCCGTCGAACAGTTCACAAACGGTTCGCCGAACGTTCAGTTCGTTCATAGCCCGACCCTCAATTAATCGGGAAATCTGGCTGCTTTTCTGGCATGGCATCTTGGATAGCTGCTACATGCTTGTATGCTTCATTCAATCTGGAGAGAAGAGGGAATTCACTCTTCACAAACAAGTAACGATTGTAAGCATCACAAACATAATTTAAAATGCTGGCTTTCAATTATGTGATTATGTAAAAATATTCGAATTTATTAATTCAAAACTGGAAAAAAAAAAATTCAACCAAATTAATGACGTATAGGAACAAAGCCTACCATGTCAAAGTTGAATCGTTGTGATAAACCAATGATTTGTGGAGCCAAAAACACGTCTGCCTGCATAAGTTGAGACAATTTTAAATAATATTCTAATCGGAATGTATAGATTTCACAAATAAAGCTATAAATAGAGATATGAGACCTGGTTGTTATATAATAAAACAAAAGAAAAAAAAATTATAAACTGAGAGATGTAGACAGAAAGGAAATTTAGGAGGAAACATGCATCCAACTTTGTGTTTAGATTTTCTGCATAATATTTAGGAAAACTAAATATTAACATATAATGACGATAAATACCATATATTATGTTGTTAATACTACAAAAGTCACTAAGTTTATACGAAAATTTGATTTTGAACCTACATTTTTGTCTCAAATTGTACACTACGTTTCAAGTTTGTTACAATTCTGACCACTTGATCAGTCAACCCTGTTGTCTAATGACGTGGCATGGCACGCTGATGTGTCAAAATTGAAAAAAAAAATTACACAAAAGACATTAAGTTATTTGCAAGAACCAAAATTCATTAATATATACAACGAACGGTCCCTTGGTAATTAAAGTGACCTCGGACCTTTGTGTTCTCGATATCACATTAGATTATCTGACTATGCATTCCACACCTCCAAACTCATTTTAAAGTTGCATAATTATATATAACATTATGGTTTGAATGTAAAAAACATTATATTTATACAAAAAATATGGTTTAAATGAAAAAAATATATTTATACGGTTTCAAAAGTAATATATATATATATATATATATATATATATATATATATATATATATATATATATATATATATATATATATATATATACGGTTTCAAATGGAAAATGGGAACAAAATTGGTAAAAAATGATACTCGATTTGAAACAAAAAAAAGAATATCAAAATTGAAAAAAAAAATTAAAACTTAGTGTTTTTTGTATAATTTTTTTCGATTCTAACACGTCAGCATGTCAAGCCAGCATGACACGTTATCATGCCACGTAGTAGCCAGCCAGATTGACCGGTCAAGTGATCAGAATCGTAACAAACTTGAAACTCGGTGACTTTTTTGGTATTTATCCTTTTATTTTTTGCATAATAGGCTTATAATCTCGATATATGAGCATATGCAAAAATACAAAGAAACACTACCAGGGACATTTCATCTCCAGTTGCATACTTCCCAGCATAATCTTTTAGTAATTTCTCCAAAGCTGCACGAGTTTAAAGAAAATTAAAACCATTGATAGTATAAATAATGTCATTTTTACAACCAATCCTATATTTGAAATGAAAATTCATAATATAAGTAGTAAGATCAAATTGTATGATAGAAAAGCCAAGTAGAAAATTTACCTGCAAAGCCTTTTCCAGCTTGCTTTTGAACCCATTGAATTTTTGCTTCCGGACCAACATTTTCTCCTATATAGTTCTGTTTGGATAACAAAAAAACCACAAGAATAAATGAATCGATTTTTTGTGACATGTTTATGAATCAACAAAAAATATAGTTTTTTACTCACCAAGACAGGTAACATTACAAGAGGTTGTATGCTCGAAGAAACAATATTTGCAGCCTATATATACATGCAATAAGACCTTTGATTAAAACTCAAGCCCACTCTTTAATAATAATAAAATTAATAACATTATAAGAAACCAAGCGATATTAATTATTACCTGATAATTTATTGCCTTTTTTGCAAGGTCGTGAGGTAGCAAAGGGTGATTAGGGTACTTCTCTTCGAGGTACTGTATCATAGGAAGAATAAACATGAAGTAAATAAAAAAAAAAAAGAAAAAGAAAAAAGTTCTTCCTAAAAAAAAAGACAAAACTTCAAAAATGGTCCCTGTGGTTTTCGAAAATATCAAGTTTAGCCCCTAAGTTCAAAAAACCTCACAGATCGTCCCTATGGTTTCAAAACTTTTAACATTTGGTCCCTCCGGCTAACTCCATTACCATTTAGACGTTAAGTCAGGGGTAATTTTGTCATTTCACTCCTTAGGGACCATTTATGAGGTTTTGTATTCTTTTTTTTAAATAAATAAATAATAAATAAAATTTAATATGCAAGGGGTCTCTCTCTCAACGAAAAATTGGAAAAGGAAGTGAAAGACCTAAGAAGAAAAGCACCTCCTGTTTCTCTTTCTTTCCCTTCCCCTCTCCATCTTCATCTTTAACCCGAAACAGGGGAGGAAAAGACGAGGCAAAACCCTAAGAAATTTCATGTAAATTTGATCCTCTCTTTGTGGGTATTGTTGCTTTTTCTTTAATTTGGAACCATGGATTATGATAGCATTGAATGCGTTTCAACCTCGGATGGATTGGGCAACGAAGAGATCCCACATCATCATCATCATTTTACGTCATCCAAAACTCACAACGTCAATGTTATTCCTTCAAAAATCCATCCCACCAGTGTCCATGAACTTCTTGAATGCCCTGTATGTACAAACTCAATGTACCCTCCGATTCATCAGGTTCTCTATCTTTTCTCCTCTTAATCCTTATGATTCGGATTCTCAAGTTTGTCTTCATCACGTCTTTCAATTCCTATGCTGTTTTTTACAATGATTTTGACAAATCGGTAATTTTGGAGTTAAAGAGCTTCGTTTACAATCCATCGGGAGTGCTGGAAAGCTGGAGAGAAAGATATTCAGATCTCTCTTCGAGGGTAGGATTCTCATATGGGTCGTAATGTGAAATTGATGGGTATAGTGTCCTTTCGCCTAATTGTTACCAGCAACGGACTGGCCAAAAACAAAGTTATCAGGCTTGAAGATCTGTCCGTAAGCACCAGATTTGAGACTGTCCATGGTACCAGGCTCCAGATCCATGAGCACCGCGTGTGGAACAAACCTGCCGCTACTAGCCTCATTATAATAAACGTTGATCCTCTCGAGCTGGAGTTCAGAGTCTCCGGTATACTTCCCGGTGACATCGATGCCGTGCTCTGTACACACGACCTCCCAAAACTTGGCACCAATCTGGTTACCACATTGGCCACCTTGAATGTGAAGAATCTCACGCATTTTCAAATGGAAATGAAGGAACGAAAAATCTAGGGGTAAGAGAGAGAGAGAGAGAGAGAGAGAGAGAGAGAGAGAGAGAGAGAGAGAGAGAGAGAGAGAGAGAGAGAGAGAGAGAGAGAGAGAGAGAGAGAGAGAGATGGGACCCTTGCATATTAAATTTTATTTATTATTTATTTATTTTATAAAAAAAAAAAAGAATACAAAACCTCATAAATGGTCCCTAAGGAGTGAAATGACAAAAATGCCCCTGACTTAACGGCTAAATGGTAACGGAGTTAGCCGGAGGGACCAAATGTTAAAAATTTTGAAACCATAGGGACGATCCGTGAGGTTTTTTGAACTTAGGGACTAAACTTGATATTTTCGAAAACCACAGGGACCATTTTTGAAGTTTTGTCAAAAAAAATAATGAAAATCTTGAAAATAAGTAAAAACGGGTTTCATAAATAAGATTCTGATGTTACTAACCAATATAATTGCAAGAGAATAAGCAAGCACTATATCACCATCCATTAGAGCAGGCACATATCCAATAGGATTAATCTTTAAAAACTCTACACTTACAAATAGCAAAACACTTTCACTAATTTGTTTATTATAGCATCCTAATTTCATTTTTTTCTACTATATAGTAATATAGTTTAAAAAATCAACCAAACTATAACAATGACATTGAAATACGAAATTAAGGGAAGTATGTCGCTATTTCTTGACACTTAAAAATATTAAATGCAAGAAATACACACATACTATCAATTATTTTTATTACAGCAGACAAGGTATAGCTTAATAATCTACATAGTCATAGCAATGTCATTGAATACAAATCAATATTTACTGCTATAACTGAGTAGATTTTCAGAGTATAATGTCGTGATAAGAAAAAGATTGTAAGTACAATGCTCTAATTTGTAGGTTTCGCAAAGTAAATGAAAGCACAATGCAAAAATACAAATAAATGAAAGTAAGATGGTATAGTACACAAATAAAAGAAAGTATGCTGCTATTTAATCACACTTAAAAAAAAAAGGTAATATGCAAGAAATGGCAATCTACTTCCATTGATAACTTTAGCATCCTATTTTCATTTGTTTCTATTACAACAGCACAATTTAGAAGATCTACTAATTATAATAATGTCATTGATATTACAAAGCACAATTTAGATGCACTAGTTTTGAGGTATAATGTCTTGATAAGAAAAATATGAAAGTCAATGCTAAGTTGCTAACGACTAGTTTTGCCAAACATACCCTTAAACTTCTCCTAAAAGTGCTTCTAATCGACATTTAACAAAAAATTCATAAATGTTAACTTTTTTAACAGCATATTGCATACACTATACATGTTATTTCTAGAGCAAATTACTGAAATCATCCCTATGGTTTGGTTAAAATTGCTCGTTTGGTCCCTAACTTTTCTTTTGCACTCGGATCGTCCCAATGGTTTGATTTTGTTGCATTTTCCGTCCCTTACATACATAAAACTAGGGACCAAACGTGCAATTTTGACCAAACCACATGGAGGAAAAATGCAACAAAATCAAACCACATGGACGATCCGAGTGCAAAATGAAAGTTAGGGACCAAATGTGCAATTTTAACCAAACCATAGGGACGATTTCAGTAATTTACTATTTTTTTATATCCAAAATTTGTAAACTAGGTCAATGTTTGATGATCCATATGGACACTTGGACATGCCTACATGGCATGAATATTATTGATCTTTTACTCTATCTTTTTATTTTATCATATGAAAAAATAAAAATGTTCTTTTTCATTTACTATAAAAACTATAGTATTTAATTTGACAGGTCAGAGTTAATATGACCTCCTAAACTTCAGTTTCATTATACCCCATCTATTGATATAATAGTTTCCACTTTCCACTTGTGCCCTTTTGCTTTTTTTAGTTTTGTTTTATACTCTTATTATTTTCAATGTATTTTTTTTGTGATATAATATAAAAATTATAGGTTGTATAAATAAATAAGTTAAAAATGGAAATTAAACATTTTGAAAACTTTATGGATAGCGGATATAGGATATAGATATATATAAACTTCATTGAAAGCTTTAATTATAATAACTGTAATTTACTTTGTCTTAGATAACTTTAACATTTGATCAATTCTCACATTTTTTTATGAAACTATGTGTAACATGCTGATTTAGATTACGAGTCTTGAATTGAAAGAAATAAGTTTGTTACCAGGACTGTGCTGCTCGTTTTTGAACAGATTAATGGCCTTGTATTCATAATCAAGTCCTGTTGGCAACCCACAATCATAAACAATCAAATCAATTATCTGAAATTCAAATGCTAATTAGTAAGACAATATATCCAAATTCAAAGATACATAATCAGTGAAATAACGAGCAAAACCTTTTAAGTTGAGGGCAATGCGAACACGGAAAGAGCAACTGCTCATGAAAAACGAATAGAGTAGCAGCTTCTTTGGGGACTGTTCACCATTAGTAGTCTACACATCGATCAAAATGTGATTATGTTTGTTAGATGGAAAGAATGAAAGGGGAAGAGGGAGGGACGAACACCCACCATTTCAAACAGAAGCGTAAATGCCGATGGCCAATTCTATCACTAGCAAGCAGGAAGATTCAGGAACCCTAGAAGACGACGATCGAAGCACGCAGATTTTGAACAAGCGAGAATTGCAGCGGAGGTTTGACGTTTCGTCAACGTGTTTTGTAAAACGCAGCAAAGTCAACATCGTGTTTCTATAAAGATGATTGTTTGACTGGATTCTTTTTATAAAAAATTAAAAATAACAAAAAAAAAAAAAAAAAAAACTGATTCCATCTGCAAACATACAAATCGATAAAACATAATCATGCTTTAGCAACTTGCACTTTTGCAGGTGTTTTTTTTAGTTTTTTTTTCGTATAAACCCCCATCTCTGACTAAAATCGTAGATGAACTAAGTTCATCTGCGATTTCCTCTCATCTCACCCATGATTTTGCGTTTTTTTTATTAATTTTAATTTTTTATTTATTTTTATTAAAAAATTTGAAAGGGTTTGACTATGAAACAACCTTATTGTATATAAAGTTTTACAAAAAATTATCACTTTAGAAATCCTATCAATTTCGTAGTAAAAAAAACGCAAAATCACAAGTGGGGTGAGATGAAATCGTAGATGAACTTAGTTCATCTGCGATTTTAGTTACAGATGAGGGTTTTTGTACGGAAAAAATATTAAAAAAAACATTTGCGAACATACAAGTCGCTAAAGCACGGTTGCTCTTTAGAGAGTTGTACATTCGCAGATTGAATGCTAAAATCGCAGAAGAACTTAATTTATTTGCAATTTTCATGGATATATTTGTAATTTGGGTTTTTTTTTTTTTTACTATTTTCTACAAAGTAATTAAGGGATTAGACTATATTTGTAATTTTCTCTTTTTGTTATAGAGAATTGGATGACATATCCATCATTAGTCATGTAGTAGTTTCTTATAGTGTCATAGTATGACCCATGGATGATGTATGGGTCATTGGTCATGTGGTAGTTGCTTATTTGTCATGGTATGAACCATGGATGACATATGGGTCATTAGTCATGTGGTAGTTGCTAATAGTGTCATGGTATGACCCATGGATGATGTATGGATCATTGGTCATGTGGTAGTTGCTTATAGTGTCATGTTATGACCCATGCACGACATATGGGTCATTGGTCATGTGGTAGTTGCTTATAGTGACATAGTATGACCCATGGATAACATATGGGTCATTGGTCATGTGGTAGTTGCTTATAGTGTCATGGTATGACCCATGGATGACATATGGGTCATCAGTCATGTGGTAGTTGCTTATAGTGTCATGGTATGACCCATGGATGATGTATGGATCATTGGTCATGTTGTAGTTGCTTATAGTGTCATGGTATGACTCATAGATGACATATGTGTCATTGGTCATGTGGTAGTTGCTTATAGTATCATGGTATGACCCATGGATAACATAAGGGTCATTGGTTATTTGGTAGTTGCTTATAGTGTCATGGTATGACCCATTGATGATATACGTGTCATTGTCCATGTGGTAGGTTCTTATAGTGTCATGGTACGACCCATGGATGACACATGGATCATTGGTCATGTGGTAGTTCCTTATAGTGTTATGGTATAACCCATGGATAACATATGGGTCATTAATCATGTTATAGTTGCTTACAGTGTCATGGTATCCCATAGATGACATATGGGTCATTGGTCATGTGGTAGTTGCTTATAGTGTCATAGTATGACCCATGCACAACATATCGTCATTTTTCATGTGGTAGTTGCTTATAGTGTCATTGTATGACCCATGGATGACATATGGGTCATTGGCCATGTGGTAGTTACTTAGAGTGTCATGGTTTGACCTATGGATGACATATGGGTCATTGGTCATGTGGTAGTTGAAGGGTTTTGAGAATTCTAACACTCCTATGGTATAAATGCAACCTTAGAAACCTTGGATCTATGTTTTACTAAGATACATGCAAATTTGATTTTCCAAGGTTCTTAACCTAACTAGCATGGCATGGGGAACTTGAAACATAAAAGCTAGTAGAAGAACATACCTTTTTGTTGCTTGGATTCCTTAAGAACCTTGTGAGTCTAACACCTCAAGTGTGATGCCTCAAATGTCTCACATAACACCACAACACTTGGAATAACCTTGAGAGAAGTATACTTATCACTCGAAATCGGCTAGCCCTCTTGTTCTTTACTTAGTAGCCGATTTTGCTTGTCATGGAGCTTCTTATATAGTGTGCTACATGTAGGGTTACTCCATGTAAACCTTAATGTGCATGGCGTTTCATATTCCATGATCAATGGGTTTATAACCTCCATGGACTATCCATGGAGCACCTTATGGGTTTTAGGCCAATTCATATAAACCATGGATCATTAGACCACTATGCAAGAATAGATGATTTACCCAATCAACCCCATATATTTAACTAATCTCCTTTTGATCAATT